ATTTAATCCATATATCTTAAAAAAAAATCCACCCTCAATATTTTCTTGTATTACAAGTTGCACCCTCTTGTTGAGTAGAGTTCGTTGTTCCTTCTTTTCTTTTGTCCATTCTTGTAATTCTTCACATAATTTTTTTCTTTTGTGGAAAAGTTTTTTTTTTTAAGCGCATTTTATTATCACTATCACAAGGATCCATCTATTAATACTACCCCTGTTTATGAAAGTTCGAGTAATTTACTATTTATGTTGTCAAAATAAAATGATTTTGACACACCTTATGATTTATACAATATTATTATATTAAAGATATTGGGACTGAGATCATGTTTGCTAAATTCCACAAATATTTGATCATTCATCACCAGATTGCTCCAATCACAAGTCAATTATTCATCATAAACTTGGTGTGCATTATTATTAAAATAAGCTAATTAACTTAATCGTCATATGATTCCCTAAAGATTTCTTCAATCGATAATAATTTTGTTATTTAAGTAATCAATTGATACATGCTTCCTTCATAATTTATTTTATGCGTTAAAGGCTCTAAGGATTTCCCTATTGCTTCCAAGCTAATTGAATATAGGAATTTGAATTGGATTCTTAGTAAATTATATTGACAACTTGTAATTATCCCAATAAACTAAGTTATTTTATTACTCCGTACTATATTAGTATTACAATTACACTATCAACGTAATGTAAGGTTTTAAAGTACTAATAGAAACTTTTTCATTGTCATTAATGATAAGATTAATTATCCATAAGGATTTTCTCATAAAATAAGCCTATCATCCTACAAGCATTGGCCACATCACGATTGTGCATTAAATTTTTTAATTGTGCTTGGAAGGTTTCTTCCTGGCGGACTTGGAGTGGTTTCTAGTGTTAGTTTTATTTATTGCACTTAATTTGCTAATAAAATCATGGGCCTCGTGGCTTTATAGTCAATAGATCAATACTTCTACGGGGGCGCCTCTTTTTTTTTTTTTTTTTTTTTTTGAAAAGTTAAGGAAAAAAAAATACTAAGAAAACCCCTTGGCCCTTCATACTCCATCTGCTCGTTAACCCATAAGTTCGACAATTAATTATTAATTTAAATGTATATAATCTAAAAAATTGAAAAAGTTGATATTTTGAGTCAACATTAAAATTAATGCAATTACAATAAAATTAATGGCATTAATTTTCACATATTATTAATTAATTTCATAAAAAAAAAGTCAAAATTATGAATACATGAAAGATGAATGAAGTATGAATTTAACAACATATTGATGTTATGCTTTGTTAATATATAATTTTAACCATTAATATATACCCGTTCCAAATTTAAATATTCATTTTTATTTATATGTACGTCGTTCAAGTTATTTTATAAACCGGAAGCAAGTTAAGACGAAAAAAGTGGGTGAGTCGGACTCGCGGTGAGTCTAATATATCTGACAATAATAATCTAATATTTGACAATAATATTTTAATATATGACATTAATATTATAATATCTGACATTAATAATTTGAATATAATAATCTAATACAAGTATCTGACATTTGATTATTAGCTAGATTATTAATATCAGATATTAGATTATTAATATCATATATTAGAATATTATTTTCAGATATTAGAATATTAATGTCATATATTAGAATATTATTGTTAGATATATTAGATTCACGGTGAGTCCGGTATTAGGCAAAAACTTCTCCGGTTAAGAAGCAAAAAGTTGCATGATCTTCATTCCTCGTGGTGCACGTGTTGAGAGGGTTCACATATGACATAAAATAACCCCATTAGTTGCAACATTATTCTATGATATAAGTAGTGAGATATGAAATGCCACGATCCCCTCGAGAGCACTACATGCAACAGCTTTCTTCTTTTCAAAATTTGATATACAAAAATTATACGAAAAAATATAGTTTTATTATATGGTACCTTCGCCTAATTCATTTCAACAAGTTGTGGCTTTGTTATATTTATATATATATATATATGCTGTCGTTCGTAAAAGTTCATTCTATTTAAAAGATAATTATCTCATTAAAAAAAGTCAAAATAAGAATTGTTTTTTAATTTAAATTTTATTTTATAATATTGATGGAAGATGTATTGTGTAGTTTATAGTTTGAACCATGTTTTGAAAATTGCAAAAAATATCTCGAAATGATTTAAATAAAGTTCTCTGGAGTTTATTCTCCGGGGGGGTCAACCTCTTTCAAATATACAGCATGGATTTTGGCAATGCAATGATATATAGTTTCCATAATAATAATTGAATTAAAAATTCAATATTTATGTTAAATTTTTGAGAGAATATGAAATGGGTCTAGGCAACGCGAACAGAAGAGAGTTTGGTCTACAAATAAGGCTAAGGAGATTCCATACCAAAAACCAATTGGCAATAATAGGAGTAACTCCTTTACCTTATAAAGTGGAACTAATTGGGAGAATATAGAATGAGCCTGGGCAACCCGAACAGGAAGGATGAGAGTTTGGTCCACAAAAATTTCATACTAAAACTAATTGGCAATAATAGGAGTAACTCTCTACTTAATTTTTTGATGCAAATAACTCTCTACTTTATAAAGTAGAACTAATTCTCCTCTTTTTCCAATGTGGGACACTCATAAGTGGACTACAAGTCTACAATGGGTTTCAACAATCTAAAATAACATATATTTCATGTTTAGGAGTTGCACATGAATAAAATCTAATACTCCCTCCGTTATTTTTTTTTTATTTTTTTTAAATGCATCAATTTCCTTTTATGGGTGTTTTTTTTAAATGTATCACTTCCTTATTTGGTAACTTTATACTATATTTTATCATTTTTCTCTCTTACTTTAAACCCCACTTAAATTATTTTATCATTTCTCTCTCCTTCATGGCCCCCACTTATATAATAAAAAAAATTTACTCTCCCTCACATTCTTTCTCTTTTATGGTCCCCATCTAACTTTTACTATAATAGATTATTCACACACTCACAATATTATAGAGCCACAAGGGCGGGTGATGAGAATCGATCTCAAAATCGCCTGAAATTGAGAGGGGGAGCTCTAACCACTTGATTTATCCCTCACTCTTTGCCAATTGCCCTTATGCTTGTTATTATTATTTATTTTTTTTTTATTTTTTTAAGGAATGCTTGTTATTAATTTAATGTATGTGTATATGGGCAATATTATTTTGATGACAAACATTTAAAAAAATCGGATGTAATAAAATATTATACGTCTACTATACAGTATCCTTAAAATGATCAAAAATAAAGTTACCCTGTAATGAGTGAAAGTACCCCGTATATATAAGTTACCCTGTTATAAATAAAAGTTATTTATGATTTATTGATAAAAGTTATCCAAAAAAGTCTAAAAGTTACCCTAAATTCAATAAAAATTACCTCGATATACAGTAACATTACTGTACATCGAATGTATACAAAAGTTTTTGTGATGACAAATATTTAAAAACATTTTGATTAGGAGTCTATAATGAGGAGAAGATCACATATTGTTCGCCAGATTAGTTTACGACACATAATGAATTTGTACGACAGGTTTATGAGATATCAGGACCTTTTTATTTTTTTATTTTATTTTATTTTTGGTTGGTAACCGGGCCGAAACCTCTCAAAGGTTCTTCCAACTCGGGTTAGCGGGCTAGACACTTTGGAAGTTAGAGGGAAGTGTAAGAGAATCCGTACCCCAAAGTGCCTCTAGTGGGGTTTGATCCCACAACCTTAAAGTTGTGAGATACAAACCTTACCACTATACCAAGCTGTGCTTGGTTATGAGATATCAGGATATGTGGAGGAGTATAATTAACTAGGTCGTGGTATATATACATATACTACTACGGTCTACGATTTTGTTCTATTAATCTTTACTTATGAACTTATCTTATTTTAACTTAATTGAACTTATCTGATCTAAATTCAACTGAACTTTTCCGAAATTATTAGACCTGAAATAAGTGAAAATAAGGTGAACAAATAAGCACTACCTCCCTTTTAGAATAAATGCAACATTTTGACTATTTGTCTTTTGATCAATACAACACTTTGAACATTAATTTTTGTACACAACAATTAATAATAAAATTTTAAATAAGACTTCTTGAAAATATACATCGAGATCAATCAAATAATATATTACATATAAATGTTTAAAATTTTTATACATATGTTAAAAGTATAGTCAAAGTTAGATAAATAGTGAACAAAGTCAAAACGTTGCATCTATTGTGAAACTGAGTTCATATGTTATACTTCGTCAATTCCTCTAATATTACAATAATATAAAAAGAAAGAAAACATGTGCAAATAGAAAGTTGTTGCTATATTTATAAAACTTCCTAAAAATGGTAATTGTTACAACATATTAGGAAAATGTAGGAAGTATTTTTTTTATCGAATATTTAATTTGTTATTGCCTTTTGTCATACCAGTTATTCGGCCCATGTGTTCGACTCATGTGTTCTAACTAGGAGCTTAGCCCATGTGTTTGTTTCCCAAGTCGTAGTTGGCTAGAGACATCTCTAACAGTTATGTGGGTCTTGTAGCTTACACTTCAACATTATGTGTTTGTCACTTTTATGAATATGTGCAGGGCCGAGCCCAACAGCTCATGGCCTTACAATTTATAAAGGCCCAAAATCCGTATACTTTAAGTTCTAAATAAATCACAAGCTAACGGCAATACAAATTATAAATAGAGTGAGAAATTCGAACCTGCGATATAATATCTATAGACCCTAAATCTTATTCACTAATACAAGACCTCATTGATACTTCATATCTATAATGTAGTTAAATTTCAAAATACAATTTATACTTTCATTCAAGTAGAGTTGACCCAAGATATTATTCTGAGAAATTGACAATTGATGCAATTGAATGATACTTTCTCCGTCTACAAGGGGATTTTGTTTCAAGAATCATATGAAGTCAATAATATTTTATCCACACATTTCAAAAGATAAACGTATTAAAACCAAAATTTCATGATCATACAGAAATAAAAACTTCAAAAAAATATCCAATATCTATATGATGAGTAACAATATTCGTTGATATAACTTTGAAAGCTCATAATTACATAAAAAGTAGCAACTTCTTAAATTCATTTAAATTTCAATAGATTTCTGATTAAGTGCTGTATATCTCCACCTCTCTTTCTCAACAAAATCTGCATCCAAAAACTTAGAAACACATTTCCATAAACTATACACATCTTCAAAATTTGATAAGAAACTAATATTAACTGTAACAACTGATATGCCACTTTCATAACTTTCCTTTTTCTTCCCTTTGAATTTTTTCCTAATGCTTTCTTTAGTCCCCTTCATCAAAACACTTTCCTTCTCAACTTCATACCTCTCAGAGAACCATACATGCTTCAATAATCCGCAACCAAGTGAAATATCATTCCTATCCGCGAGTTTTTGGACTAACATTGGCTCAACCCTTTCGCCTTTCCAATCAAACATGTTAAAGGCCAAGGAAGAGCCTCTGTCGAAATTCACTCTAGGACCGTAAACTTGTACAAGTTGTACCCCTCTTTCGGAATGTGGATGATAAAGAGCTGATAATGCATTAATTAACCAATTAATCAAACATCTTACCCGACTACCAATTATGACTAGGCCTAACATGTCTGCTTGGTCTAGTCCCTTACACTCAACGTCACACTCTTGCTTATTTCCCTGATCTTGTTCATCTTTTGTATGTATTAGGCTCACAACTCCAGGGGAAGATGTAAAACTCGAAACATTTATTGTTGGAGAGATCGATTTCTTTACGAGTAGGCAGGCAAACCCCGAGGGATCTTCACCAAAGACTTTATAAAATGTGCAAATAAGAAAATCAGGTTGAAATAAGGACAACCCTAAAGTGTCCATTTCCTTAGGATTAAGGGCACTTGCATCAAGTAATACATGCCACCCATTTTCCCTTGCTAAACTTATCCATTGATAAGAGTATCTTGCTCCACTTACTCTTGATTGAACAGGAAAAACAAACAAACCTTTGTTCATTTTCTTGTTTTTATTATTCTTCTTAACATTATTGCCTACCACAATTTCTTCTAGTTTGTTACAATGAATCTTCAACTTAGGCCACTTAAACTCGGCTTGCGAAACTCGAGCTCCCCTGCCTTTTGAGGTCTTAATCATAGCTTCTACACCTTCATTTTCATGATCATATACTGTAATAAGATTCTTATTAGATTGAAAAGGGTATGATTCAGCCAAAACCCCAAAAGCGGATGTTTGATTAGCAGTAAAAAACAAGGAGTAATCATCCTCAGTAACATTCAAATACCTCATAATTCTTTCCTTGATCTTACTCTCAATCATTGATGACATTAACACTCCATTCGCCTTATGCAAAATATCGAAACTTGTTAGTTTCGCGGTATAAGAGGAAGAAGAGGCAACAAACTCACCTTGTTGTTGTTGTTGTTGTAAGGATGAGAAGAGGGCATGACCACTATAATCAAGGCAAACATGGGAAGAAAGGAATAAATGGCGGTACTCGTTGGCGCGGATTTCATCGGCTTCAACGGTGGTTAAGTACCGAGGGAATGATCTAGTGAAACTCCGGAATGATTCCGGTAAAGTAGGGATTGAATCAGGGTTACTGATATAGAGAAAAATAACGCGGAATAGGGTTTGTAATTTTTTGTGTGTTTATTGCTTGTGATAGTACAAATATTTATACACAGAAGTATCCTGTAAATTAGGCAACTACTACCAAGATTACAGCCTAAATAGTTGCAGACTAAATTGCTTAATATTTAGTCCCTTTGATTAAGGAACTAATTATGGTTATTTCTACACTCCCCCTCAAGTTGGGCATTAGGTGCTCCAATGCCTAACTTGCGTAATGCCTCATCGAATGCTTCACTGTTGACAGCTTTTGTCAGGATATCAGCTAACTGATCTCTTGATCTCACAAATGGAAGTTTAATTATCTTATCTTCCAATTTGTCTTTTATGAAGTGTCTGTCTATCTCAACATGCTTCGTTCTGTCGTGTTGAAATGGATTTTCTGAGATACTTATTGCTGCTTTGTTATCACAAAAGAGTTTGCATGCTGTTTTTTGTGGAAAACCAATTTCACTCATAAGTTTCCGGATCCATAAGATTTCAGTTATCCCTTTTGCAATACCTCTGATCATTTCCTGTAATAATCATGTCATCTACATAGATGATTAAACAGGTAATTTTCTCTTTTTCTTTCTTTAGAAATAAAGTATGATCGGAATTACTTTGCCTATATCCAAACTTCTTCATAGCTTTTGTGAATCTTCCGAACCACGCCCTAGGAGACTGTTTTAGTCCATAGAAAGCCTTCCTCAATCTGCATCCTTCCCTATCTCTAAAATCATGAGAATATCCAGGAGGTACCTCCATATACACCTCCTCGTCAATTCTTCCATGAAGGAAGGCATTTTTCACATCAAACTGGTACAGAGGCCATTCCTTGTTTGCAGCTACAGAAAACAGAACTCGTATCGTGTCAATTTTGGCTACAGGAGAGAAAGTTTCTGAGTAGTCTATTCCATATGTCTGAGTGTATCCCTTAGCAACCAGTCGTGCTTTGTATCTCTTAATAGTTCCATCTGCTCTGTATTTGATGGAGAATACCCATCTACATCCCACCTTCTTCTTCCCCTTTGGTAAGATGCATTTCTCCCAAGTCTTGTTTTTCTGTAGGGCCTGATTCTCTTCTTCCATAGCCTGCTTCCATTTTTCATTCTTGACAGCTTCCTCCACATTCTTTGGAATGTCTGCGGAGTATAAAGAGGCATTGAAAGCTATGGCTGTGTTGGACAGATTTTCAGTGCTGATTCTTTCGATTGGATATCTCGACCGTTGGTCCTCATATTCAGGATCATATCTCCTTGGTGGAACTCCTCTCGTACTTCTAGGAGGTAATTCATACCTGTTTTGTTCACTTTCATTGGAGACAGGATTAATTTCAGGCATATTGTAGGAAACAGGAGAGCTTTCAAATGGTACCTCTTCTGATGATGGAATGTCATCAGATGGATGCTCATTTGGCGGATCTGGTGGAGACTGAAGGGGAAGTGGGACTACTGCTTCTGGGGTAGCATCGGTGGTATTGCCTACTTGTGTTGTAGGATTTGGGTCCACCATTTTTGGATATGTCAACCAGCTAAGGTCATCACTCAAATTCTCCCCCTGAGGACCTAGCTGGGTGTAATAGTAAGTTTGTTCAAAGAACTCACAGTCTAAGGTGGTGTAGACCCTTTTTTGAATTGGATCATAACAACGGTACCCTTTTTGATAAACCCCATACCCAATAAAGACACATTTAATTTCCCTAGGTTCGAGCTTATTTCGAGCCCGTTTTGGTAAATGAACATAGACAACGCACCCAAAGACTCGTGGAGGTAAAGAATGGACTGATGGGATGGTGACATGAGAGGATAAGGTGTCAAGAGGTGTTTGGTAGTCAAGCGGTTTACTAGGAAGTCGGTTTGTGAGATAGGTGGAAGTAGCAATGGCTTCTGGCCAAAAATAGACCGGGACATGGGATTCTAACATGATAGCTCTGGTTATTTCAAGAAGGGTTCGATTTTTCCGTTCGGCAATTTCATTTTTTTGGGGAGTGTCTGGGCATGTGGTTTGGTGAATCAGACCATGGTCAATAATGAATTGTTCCATGTCTAAGGTTATATATTCCCCCCCATTGTCCGATCGTAAAATTTGTGGGTGAGCATGAAACTGAGTGCATATCATATGATAAAATTTAACAAAGACATAAAACACTTCAGATTTATGTTTTAAGAAATAAACCCAACTCATACGAGTACAATCATCCACAAATAAAACAAAATAAGAATAGTTATGGAATGCAAATTCAGGCGCTGGGCCCCAGACATCGGAATGAATCAAAACAAAAGGTTCAGAGGCATGACTTAAACTAGGATGATAAGTATGTTTATGACTCTTAGCTAAGACACATGCTTCACAGTTCAATGCTACATCAATATTTTTAAAAGAGGGAAATAAACGTTTTAGGTAACCAAGAGAGGGGTGACCTAGCCGACGATGCCACATCCAAAGTTGGCTTTCCAGTGATCCATGAGCAAGCAAAGCGTTACCCTGTTGAGCCTCCTCATCCACATAGTACAAACCCCCTCGTTCAGTACCACACCCAATGATCCGTCCTGTTAGAGCATCCTGCACAATACAACCAGAATCCGTTAATAAGACAGTACAATTAAGCTCTTTAGTCAACTGACTCACAGATAAAAGCTTATGAGTAAGACTGGGAATTAAAAGACAATTATTTAAATGTATATCTGAAGTAACATCAATAATCCCAGTCTTGGTAACAGGAATATATTCCCATTTGCTGTTTGGATTTGGTTTCGGTGAAAGGTTTGGGTGGCTTTAATATCTGATGGATCACTCGTCATAGTGTCAGTGGCTCCGCAGTCAAAAATCCATGGAGTGATTTTATTACAAACAAAGCCAAGAGGTTTCGGGCTTAAGTCATTGGGCTGTAAGTTTTCGGTTTGGGCTTCCAAACAAATAGGACCGGTTAGAGGAAGATTGAGAGAGTGAGTTTTGTGGGCTAAGTTTTCTTCCCTTTCCTCACTTCTCCTAGCCGACATATGTAATCCTCTTTCCTTCTTTCATCCTCACTTTCTATTTTCTGAATCTCACTTTCCATACTCTGCTCCCTACTTTCCTTACCACCATTTTTATCGGTGACATTTTCTTCTTCTCTCATGCCCAAAATTCCTGTGTTGCCTGAGATGTTGTCTGAAATGTTGCCGGATCCGGTGCTTTCTGGGTTCGAGTACACGGCGACACTGGCCTTGCTTCCGGCTCCGGCCTTGGTGGCGGCCTTCTTCTTCGTGTACTCCTCCCACCATTCTGGATACCCGATAATTTCGAAACACCCTTTCTTGGTGTGTTTCGTTCCTCCACAATGGGTACATTTTAGGTGGGTTTTGTCTTCTCGCCGGAATGAGGATTCCGACCGACAATTAGCAACGAGCCTGCTTCCAATTTCTGAGGGATTTTGTCCTGATGATGAAACGCTGGTCATTATCCCGCGAAGGGCAATTTCCCGTCTAATGAACGCGTATGCTGCGTCAATTGATGGAAGAGGGTCGTGATTCAGTAAGTCCCTCTTCTCTTTGTCTAGTGAGTCGTTTACACCGGCCAAAAATTGGTATAATCTTTGCCTCTGTATAAACGAATTAAAGAGAGTGATATCTTCTGGGCACTGCATTGGATTTGGCATTCTCCTATCCATCTCTTTCCAGAGGGTATTCAGTTTACTGAAATACACCTCTAACTTTTCGTTTCCCTGCTTCAAAGATGCAGCCTTTGTGTTCAGATCAAAGGTCTGTAATTCGTCCCTCCCACTACTGAGTAAGGTTTCAATGCCCTTCCATAGATCTCGAGCATATTTATAATCTAGAAATTGGTTCACTAGATCTCCATCAATGTTTTCGATGATCCAGGAGAGAACTAATGAGTCCCGTTGTGCCCATTGTGTGTGCTCCGAATCGTCCAATGGTACGGGGTTGGCAGTGATGTGATTGATCCTTCCCCGACCACCAATTTCTATTTGCATCAGTTTACACCATTTTGTGTAATTCGTGAAGGTTAATTTTTCGGCCACACGCACTGTTTGTGATGTGCCGGATTCTGGATTATTTTGTGTTTTGTTCATTTTCTGGAATAATTGGAACATTTGTTCCATTTGTTCCATGGAAATTAACTGGTTGTTTGGTGGTTGTTCGTCCATCGCAGGTAAGTTCTCCGATAAATGATGAGGAAAAACAAGGTTTCGTTTCCCAAATCGAACCTTACGGCTCTGATACCATATAGAGAAAAATAACGCGGAATAGGGTTTGTAATTTTTTGTGTGTTTATTGCTTGTGATAGTACAAATATTTATACACAGAAGTATCCTGTAAATTAGGCAACTACTACCAAGATTACAGCCTAAATATTTGCAGACTAAATTGGTTAATATTTAGTCCCTTTGATTAAGGAACTAATTATGGTTATTTCTACAACTGAAGTGTGTATTTGGGTAAAGAGATGATGTAGTTGCAGTTGCAAAGTCATAGTGAAAAGTCGAGGAATCAATGTTTGCTGAGTTTTGATGATCAAAGGAGATTGGGAAACTATTTACAGGATTTAAGCAACAATAACATTTGCATAAATTTGAACTTAGTTTTACATTTGAAGATTTCATGCTTAATTATTGCTATTATTTTGATTTTCCTCTGTTTTTTTTTTCTTTTTTTCTCTTCTTTGTTCTTATAACCAATCATTTTATGTTTTTTCTTATCAATTATTATAATTATCTATTTTGTCCTTTTATTTTAGAGCTTTATGTGTAACGTTGATTAAGTCAATATGGTTGCCGTTTGACTTTTGGAATTTATTGCTTTAGTGGAGAGCAATGTTTTGAACCTTGACTTGATGAATTGATTTGCATGATTGTTCTACGAAAATGCTAAGTATGTATCTTTTACACGTCAACTCAGCTCACAATTTTTAAATTATTTCACACTTAATACACGTAAACTATGCGACCTTAATTCTAGGTACTTTAAGAGACAAATTTTAACTTCCAAATCACAACGTTAATTTTATGTCAATTGCATAAAGTACTACCTAAACGACGTATTTTTTTTTTTTTACTTAAATTTGAATTTAAAGTGAAAACTTCTCCCATCTCATAGGATGACTACTTAGCTTAAACTAGGTAATTGAGTACGAGTACTTACTTTTACAAAACCCGAGAGTTAAATTTGAAGTAGTGTATGCCGTGTTCGTTTGGGAAAATTGTACTTTGTAGTTAATCGAATAGTTAAGTGGCTGATACCATGCTGATGAAACAGAAGCATCATCATAACTACATTTGAGAACTTGTCATGAACGTTATACGTTAGTCAAATACAAACATAACTATATGTGGTACCTAGAGATTTTATAATTTTTAGTAAGAAAAATGATGAAAGTTTAAGGGTGTTGTTAAACGTCGTTCACAAATTACAAGGTGACACTCGCATTTTTTTATTGAATTTCCTAATTTGCCCCTCATATATAAATTCTTGGAAAACCGAGTTACGAAACTCACAAGTCATTTCTCAACCCCGACACTCTCTCTCTCAAACTTTCTCTCTCTAAAAAAAGGCAAGAATTTTAAAAAAAAAAATTCAGAAAAAAAAAAATTCAGAGGAAAAAAAAAATCAGAAATTCATTTTCAAAAAAAACCAAAGATTTGAAAATCAAACGAAGAACGTACGAAAACCAATCAAAGCAAGAATCCGGGTATGGCGGACGGGAGAGGCATTAGGCTTACGTACGGTGGTCGTGGGGGCGGCATTTCCGGCGGCGAGCAGGTTGGTAATACGTTCTTTGTTGCTGTAATTTAAAAGGGAAAAAAAATTCTGAAAAACCCAGACTTCCGCCTGAAATTTCCGGAAGTCTGGGGAACTTCCGGAAATTTCAGGTGGATGTGGGGCTTCCGCCTGAAATTTCCGGAAGTTCTCCAGACTTCCGGAAATTTCAGGCGGAAGTTCTGGGTTTTCCGTTTTTTTTTTCCTTTTTTTTCCTTTTCTTTTGTTTGCTGAAGGTGTTTTATTTTTTTGTTTTTTTTTTTTATGTTTTTTTTGTTGAATTTTTTTTTTCTTTTTTTGGGTGAAGCTGTTTTTTTTTTTTTTTTTTTTTTTTTTTTTTTTTTTTTTTCTGTTTTTTTTTGTATTTTGTCTTTGTTTGTTTTTTGTTTTTTTTTCTTTTGTTTGGTGATGGTTTTTTTTTTGTAATTTGTTTGTGTTTGTTTATTCTTTTTTTTTTCTTTTGTTTGATGAAGCTATTTATATTTTGTTTTGTTTTTTTTTTTCCTTTTGTTTGGTGATGGTTATTTTTTTTTTAATTTGTTTGTGTTTGTTTATTCTTTTTTTTTTTCTTTTGTTTGATGAAGCTATTTATATTTAGTTTTTTTTTTTTTTTTTTGTTTTATGTATTGTTGTTATTATTATGTTTATTTACTTTATTTTTCATTTATTGTTATTGTTATGCATTGTTGTGATGTTTATTTTTTTTATTTGTTGTTATGTTTATTTATTTTTTGTTTTCATTTATTGTTATTGTTATGTAATGTTGTTATGTTTATGTAATTTGTTTTTTCATTTATTGTAACTGTTATGTATTGTTGCTATTATTTTGGAATTGGAATATTAACGATTCAAGGTTGATATCATAGTTGTGTGTGTAAGTATTAATGAAATTATATTTTCTACTTATTTAATGCAGATTGAGGGTTCGGGCGCTCGACATGCAAGATCGAGACGTTTGAATGGTGAGGAGGGAGTTAGGTGGTGCAGGACCTTCGGAGGCACCGTTTCACCGTGAGCAGCAGTACGGGTCTGCTCGTACTTGGTCGGGGAGCATCAGTCAGACATGAGCGCCCCCATGTACTCGTCGGGTAGAGTTCCTGTATGTGACGAAGAGGACGACGATGAGCGAGCTAGTCATGCTAGTCGAGATTCAGAGTACGACCCTCAGGATTACCGTGCTGTGTATAGGGGTGACCATGGGAGATATGGTAGTAGTAGTGAACCAGGTGAAGGTTCTACCAGCTCGTCTGAGTCGTGGGTGGTTCGGGGGCCGATGCCAGGTGGGCCTGAGGATGGTACTGTCATTCCTAGTTTTGGGGGTCACGTGGCTGCATATCTATGGGGTGGGCAGGAGAGAAATGTTCTGCGGTGTTTGAGCAGGACACAGTTGTGTACTGAGTTGGGTAACTGGCGCGCTCGTCTTCCGCAGGAGCACCTGGAACTGATTGATGGCAGTGGTCTATCTCACTTACCCGGGATCATGTTCCGGCGATTTGACTGGCCCCTGATTTCTGCTTTTGTTGAGAGATGGCAGCCAGACACGAACTCGTTTCACATGCCATTTGGGGAGATCACGATCATGCTGCATGACGTGTATCATATTCTAGGGCTCCCGTTGTGGTGCCGTGACTCCTCTTCGAGCCCGCAACGGCAAGATAGTGAGACATGGGTACAAGCACGTTGGTACGGTGCCTACACCGAGAATAATAACCATTGCGTTGAACCAAGTAGCAATGGGAAATAAATCTTGAATTGCAACCATCCAATGACGAGCATCAACCGCCCCACCGTCCCATCGAATACGCTCCACATTTATCTGAAGCCTTCCAAGCCCGTAAATCCTCTCGTACAGGGATGGATAACCAAGGACCTCGTTAGCGATTGTTTCTCGAGCGTCATACCATCGGCCTTGATCACCAAAGAAGAACTCGACGACACAACGAAAGCCGCAGTTACCATCGCCAATGACATCTTTCCACCCTGTGATGAAAGGCAACATCGGTCCGGGAATCAAGTGTCGATACCGGCTTTGGGTGATGTCTGATTCATCTTCTGCAAATATGTAGGGTTTAGTTATTAGTACAAGAACTCATGAAAAACGATTAAACCCACAATACCAAAATCATACCTCCTTGTCGTTGACCAGAGTGACTGTTTCGGCGATTCACATGTTCGAAATAAGACCGATCACGTCTTGTATCGTTGTTCCTCTGTCGACCACGCACCCTATGGTTGATATGAGGTTCTTGGAGGTTATCATGATCCGGATGTAGCTCTTCCTCAATGATGCGTGTCACATTTCGTAGAACAACATTGTCACTACCAAGTACCTCGTCCATCAGATTTCGAAAATGTGTGGCGTCCTCGGTCGCGTCATTACCGAACGCTGTTCCGTCATTACCATTGCCAATAACCAAAGTCTTCCAGAACTGGTGAATTTGCCTACTATACAAGCCCGTCTCTCGAGCTAAAGACTCATGTATCTGACAAGCACATGGCAAACCATGGGTCACCCGCAATGCACATCCGCAACGCTCATACACCTGATAACTCAGATCCCTCATCCTTTTCGTCTCCTTGTCGAGAATCTTCAAACAATGCTGAGACACCTTGCCGTTAATAGGTGACAATGGCAATTGTCGGTACTTCTGACCAATCTTCGACCTAGATGCCTCCAAATCATTACGAATAGCGATGATCTGATTACCAATGTGACAATGAACTCGGGCCCATACGGTATCCAAAGAACCTGCACATTACCAAAAAAACGTTATTATTCACAACAAACATAAATACAACAAAATACATACATCAAATACAACAACCAAAAAAGAACCTGTCGAAGAATCAAACCACATCTTGACGGCCGAATGCTGGCTCTCAACTCTACATGTGCTTGTGTTGCCAAAATGAAGAACTTGGTTAGTCTAAAATGTCACAAACTTCGTTTTATGACAAAGCCAAGTCCTCTCAACATACTCTATCACCTTTGGATAACTTGCCCATTTCAGTTTCATCATCTCTACAGCAGCCTCATAATCCTCCTCGGTTGCAGCGTCCATCACACGTTTCCATCTCCCGTTTTTGAATGTCGCACCAACCTTTTTGCTTTTGAATATATCAGTGACACGAGCCTCAACATCTTTGTTAATATGCCATCGACAAAGTAAGTGCGAGGTCCCTGGAAACACTTCCCTCAATGCCGCAACTAGGCTCATCTCACGATCAGTCAAGAAAACCGACAGTTCCTTATCAAACCCGATCAAGTCTCTCAATCTCTACAAAACCCATCGATAGCTGGCCGTGCACTCGTTGCGCATGAAGACGTAACTGACGAGGAAATTTTGATTTGTCGGTGTCACACCAACTATCTCTAAGAACGGCATTCCATATCGGTTGGTCTTGTATGTGGAATCCATACCGATCTCATACGGGTACGTCCGTAGGATGTCTATCATGACTAGATGCGCCATGAAGGCGTGCTGTAAAACGCCATTATCATCAGACAATACCCAGTACACATACTGACTCTGTCTAGCCAAATGTAGAAACTGCTGAACAACTCCTCTCCCATCTGACATCTCGGTTCTGAAGTCATTTCGGCAGTTGTAGATGTGTCTGATGTTTGGATGATCCTGAGGAAATTGCTCGGCAATAGTCGCCATGATGTTACGCGGTGCTACCTTAGACTTGGTCATGTTACGCACAACCTGCTTCGCTTCCGGGCTTAACCCGCTTATTTTACGATGCCCCTCTGGATACGCAATCATTGGATGGTTGTGGGTCCCAGTTACATCATTTTTCGCCGTGATAAACCAACAGTCGTCAACAAAATTGTAAGATATCTTGATGTAGAAAGGACAACCATTGGCTTTGGTTTTCGTGTCCTTCCTTATTGCGTTCTCAAGATCTCTCGGCTTACTCCTGCGTCCCCGATCACATCTTAAATATCGATATGGTCGACCATCCCTCTGTCTGTTGAAAGACGATTTCACCAAAATAAATCCCAGATTTATTGCAACAGCATCCGCCCAACTAACTGCTTCATCAAACGTTCGAAAAACCTTGTCTGTCACGAAATTTGCACTATAATCCACCCCGTCACCGCCTTCTTCATCCTCCGAATCCTTTAACAATAAACCAAACAAATGAGGCAAATATTAGTATTATAAATTTAATAATAATACTAATATTTTTATTAATAACAAAAACTATAATACTAATAATAACAACCTTAATAATAATAATAAAAATAATAGTAACAACAATAGTGATAGTAATTACAATAACAATAATCATGCTAACAACAACAGTAACAATATTAATAATAATAATAATACCAATAATAAGAATAATAACAAAAATGATAATAATAAAAATAAAAATAAAAATAAAAAATTCGATAATAATAATAATAATAATAATAATAATAATAATAATAATAATGATAATAATCATACTAACAACAACAACAACAATAACAATAACAATAACAATAATAATAATAATAATAATAATCGTACTAACAACAACAACAACAATAACAATAACAATAATAATAATAATAATAATAATAATAATAATAATAATAATAATAATAATCGTACTAACAACAACAACAACAACAACAAAAACAACAACAACAACAACAACAACAACAACAATAATAATAATAATAATAATAATCATCATCGTACTAACAACAACAACAACAATAACAATAACAATAACAATAACAATAACAATAACAATAACAATAATAATAATAATAACAAAAACATTAGAAATATAAACATAATTAATAATAATAATAACTAAGACAATATAATAATACTCACAAAAAAAATCAGCAAAAATAATGTTATGAATTTTGAAAGAATAAAAAAAAAAAAAACAAAAACAAAATTTTGGACTTCCGCCCATTTTTCCCGGATCCCAGGGGGGAGATCCGCCTAAAAAATCCGGAAGATCTTTCTGGGATCCGGAAATTCCAGGCGTATGTGGGGATCCGCTTAGAATTTCCGGATCCTTGGAGGATCTTCCGGATTTTTTAGGCGGATCTCCCCCCTGGGATCCGGAAAAAATGGGCGGAAGTCCAAAAAATAAAATAAAATTAAAAACTACGACTTACAGATTCTTCCGACGACTGCTCCGGCGTATTAAAGTTGTCGTCGCTCATCGTGAATAGTGGGCCCCAACTACCACACTCGGGATTTTTTAAAAATTGGTCGGAATTACCGTACAATGGTGGTCTCGGGTTTTTTGGTGGGTCGGGATTTTTTAAAGACAAGTGGGGGGTCGGGAATAATATTAAACTTTTTACTAGCTAAAGTGAGTCATGGTGGAGCCTTATATGGAATTAAAACAATCAAGGGCAAAATAGTCAATACACATAAAAATGGGAGCGTCGTCCTGTAATTTGCGAACGACGAATAGCAGTTCACAAGTTTAAGGGTTTAGGTGGTTTGAAATATATTATTTTAGAGATAATGACAGACAATAATTGATTGTAATCCTAGTGAGCAAGCAATTGTAACAACTAACCGCCACTTTTATTGTAACATTTAATTTTTTCACATTCGTGCCATGTAGGTGAATTGATTGGCAAGGTTTTGGGTAGTGGCGCGATTCTCATTTACATCACTATTTTGTGTAACTATATAATTTCGATGTAAAAAAGTATAGGTTGAACAAATACAAGTTAAATAGGAGCTAAAATAGCTTAAATTTGACAATATAAATGGCGTGACGAGGACAAATTATCATTGATGATAGCTATTAAAATTTCTCTATGATAATCTAAGGGAACTATATACTTCATAGTTTCAAAAAGGGTACATATAGTTTAAAAATTTTAAATTAAAGTGTTGCATTCATAAGTTTTAAAATTTTAAATCAAAATGTTGCATTCATGAAACAATCGTGAATTACAAATTTACAATAACTTTTAAAATTGAGGACAATATACACTTTCCTGTATCTGAATTAGTGTATTAATTTGACTTTTGTATTATTTACATATTAACTTTGACTTTATTTAATATCATTTTTTACTATGTAAAACTTTACTCCGTAGTAGATTAGTCTATACAAGTATATTTCTATAATATCAAAATTTTTAAATTTTTGATAATAAATAATTAAATTATTTAATTCTTTTGAAAAAATTAAAGACACTAATGACAATACAATTTAAACTAATAAATAAAAACATATTCCGATCCCAATCGACTTGAAAGGTGGAAACAAAGGTTAGATGCTTAATACAAATGTCTCTCTCCAAAGTCTTCGTAAGTCTTCCTTTGTCCTCTCACTTAATATCTTAAACACTTCCATGAATGAAATTTTAGTAAAGACACGTATATAAGCGTCCACATACATTTATTCTTCTTTCAAGTGAAATTTTTTTTGGATACTTCTGTCTAATAATGTCGTTTATCTAGTTGCATTATTATTACTTGCATGTAATACGGAGTATGAAGTTTCCTCTTCCCTAAATTAGTCTACACAACTACTTTTAGGTGAGTAGAATATTTATTTGTCTTTATTTTGACATTTCATAAATTGGCATTGGTGCTCTAGTCTCATTGTCTCTAATCACAAGGATGAGTGCCCAAATCAAACTAAGGAGTGCCAAAATCATTTATCCTTGACCAAGCTACATAGTACTCGTATTATCATAGTCGGGTCATTTGCCATCTTGTTCTCTACTTATCTATCATGATCTCAATGATACCTTATATATATTTATTCAAATCATGTTAACATGTGCTTGGAGGATGAAAATTCATATATTTTCTTACTATTAAACGAATTAAACCATTATATTAACTTTTTTTTTTTTTTTTTTTTTTTTTTTTTTTTTTTTTTTTTGTTTTTACGGGACTATAGTAACTTAATATGTGATACTTTTATCTATCTCAATGCTAGTTTAAGAATGAATAGTATTATTGTTATGATATATGAGAAAGATTTGATATGATTTGGTTAGGATACTTAGTTGGCAAAGATAAGTTATATGTTAAGTAGATAATATTCTTAATATTCTTGCCATAATTATCTTGTACTCGATTATATATTTCGGCAAGAGCCATGAATGAAGGCTAAGCAAATATTCTTGATTATTGTTTCACATGGTATCAAGAGCCATAATTTCTTAACCGTAATTTATAGCAATGGTAGGTGGTACACCGCCGCCACCACCTCCACCACCATCAAAAATTGAACCAAACTCCCCGTTTTACCTAGGTTTGCAAGATCGTCCAGGTGATTTTATAACCCCGACTCGCCTTAAGGGCGATAACTATGATGATTGGGCTGCCGATATTCGTATGGCATTAGAAGCACGACAGAAATATGAATTTTTGGATGGCACAATAACTGGTCCGATCCCTCCTTGTACTCAGTCGGATTGGAACACCATTAATGCAATGTTAGTATCTTGGATAACTAACATAATTGATCCGGAGTTCAAATCCACCTTAACTAAATATCGAAAAGCCAAGAAGCTCTGGGATCATCTCCAACAGCGCTTTACTTTGGTTGATGATCCGCGAATTCATCAATTAAAGTCCTCTATTGCGCGGTGCGAACAGATGAAATCCATATCCGTTTCAACATATTACGTACGGCCAATTGAATGCCTTGTGGGAAGAGCTCTTTCGCCATGAACCAATTATTTCATGTTCGTGCTGTTCAAAGTGCAATGTAGGTGAATTACACGTCCACAGACGAGAGACAGCTAAACTCCATGAATTCTTAATGGGGTTATACTTTGAGTACTATGCCTAATTTCTTGCTAATATCCTTTCACAAAATCCCTTGCCTTCTATTGATAGAGCATATCAATTAGCTGTTCAAGATGAGCGAGTTCGTCTCGCCAAAGCCATCCCCGACGAGAAGCCTTCGGAAGTAGTGGGATTTGCTCTCAAAGCCAACACGGGGACTGGCCGTGGGCGTGGAAGAGGGAGCGACAGTTCAGTGTGCTCCAAATGTCAGAGACCCGGTCATGATGCCTCGAATTGTTGGAGTAAACCGGTGTGCTCGCATTGCAAGAAACGTGGCCATGATGTAAGTGGCTGCTATGAGCTTCATGGGTATCCAGAGGGATGGTTTGATCACCCCAAGACCTACGGTGCTGATCGTGGGAGGGGGAGTGCATATGGCAGAGGGCGTGGCTCAGTGAGAGCTAATGCTGCAAGTAGCAACAACATTGGGGCTTCGAGCAATGGTAGTGGTTCCTCGGAGTCAGAATTCTTCTAATCAAGTATTTACCCCTGACCAGTGGAAAGCAATTGCGGGATTCTTTGGTAACACAAAGATTCCTGACAACCGTTTGAATGGTAAGTTTAATACCAAAAAGTGGATTATTGATACCGGCGCAACGCATCATGTCACTGGCGATGAGACTTGGTTATTTGATGTAACCAAGATCATGCAAATTCCCGTTGGTCTTCCCAATGGAGGAACCCTGCTTGCAAAGAAGAAAGGGCCGATTCGATTGTCGACCTCAATTACTCTTAAAAATGTGTTATATGTTCCGCAATTGAGTTGCAGTTTGCTTTCGGTTTCACAATTAATTGAAGATTTAAATTGTGATGTAAAATTTAATTCTTTTTTGTGTGCTATACAGGACCAAACGGGATGCTGATTGGAACGGGAGTTAGGCAAGATGGACTTTACTACTTCGGAGAAGCTGACTCAGCACAACATATTTCTGTGAATGGAGCAACCTCTTCGTTGGAGCTATGGCACAAAAGGATGGGGCATCCTTCAGAACATGTAGTAAAGTTACTTCCCCCTGTAGTTGATTTTAAGGGTAGTTTAAATAAATATTGTGAGGTTTGTTTCAAGGCTAAGCATCCTAGGGACAAGTTTCCGGCTAGTGATACATTGTGATTTGTGGGGTTCCTATAGACATCCTTCGTCTTGTGAAGCTCGTTATTTTTTAACTATAGTTGATGATTATTCTCGTGCCGTATGGGTTTATTTGTTGGATGATAAAACGGAAGTTTTCCGTATTTTTATGAGTTTTATTGCCATGGTTGATCGTCAATTCTCACAAACGATAAAAATTGTGCAAAGTGATAATGGTACGGAATTTTACGTGATTATTTTTCCGCTACCGGCATTTTATTTTACACTTCTTGTGTTGGGACACCACAACAAAATGGTAGAGTTGAGCGAAAACACAAACACATTTTAAATGTAGCCCGTGCTTTACGATTTCAAGCTCATTTAGCGATAAATTTTTGGGGAGAATGTGTTCTTGCCGCTGCACATTTAATTAACCGGACCCCAACTCCTTTGTTACAAAATAAAACACCTTTGAAATTTTATTTGGCTTTCCTCCATCTTATAATGTCATCGATACTTTTGGTTGCTTATGTTTTGCTTACAATAAAAAAAATGAAGGGGGATAAGTTTGAGAGTCGTAGTAGAAAGTGTGTTTTCTTGGGGTATCCATTTGGTAAGATAGGGTGGTCCTTATATGATCTTGAAACGCGGGAATTTTTAGTGTCACGGGATGTGAAATTTTTTGAAAATGTTTTCCCGTTTATTGATGCAAACATGGTGGATATTGAGCTAGTGAGGGTTGTCCCTATGTATGATGATGTCGTGGTAGACGACGATTTTATTGATGATGTTAGTACTGGGGATACGACACAACAAGGGTCTCTATCGGGCGATGGATGCCTGGCCGACCAGCAGGGCTCTCCCATTGCCCAGCCCGCTGGCAACCAGCGCTCGAGTAACAGCAGCAGCCGAGGCAGCAGGGCCAGCCATAGGAGCAGCCTGCACAGCCGAGGCAGCAGGGCCAGCCAGAGCAGCTTGTGCAGTCACAGTACCGAGCCTCAAGGCAGCCAGCAGTCAGCCGAGCTTATTGACTCAGCAGGCCCGGATGAATTGGGAAGAGGTTTGCATGTTAAAACTCCGTTGGTTCTTTTACGAAATTATGTGACTCATACTGTTATTGCCAAAAGTCCATCTTCGCCTCAAACGCTTTCGCAAAAAAAGTCAGGTACCCCGTATCCTATAGCATACTACATTAATTATGATAATTTTTCTGTCAATTACCGTCAATTTTTGGCAGCCATCATTTCGGGTAATGATTCGACATCTTTAAAGGAAGCAATGAGGCATGAAGGTTGGCGGAAACCAATGTAAGAAGAGATCCGAGCCTTGGAAGATAATGGGACTTGGACATTGGAGGAGTTGCCCCCCGGTAAACGTGCACTTGGTAGCCAATGGGTCTATAAGACCAAATATTTATCCAATGGTGATGTTGAAGGATTGAACTCAACATTGGTGATTTTTGGCAATCATCAAACCGAGGGCATTGACTACAATGAGACTTTTGCTTCGGTAGCAAAGATGACAACTATTTGAGCTTTCTTAGCGATAGCTGCTTGCAAGAATTGGAAATTACATCAGATGGATGTACATAACGCATTTTTACATGGTGATCTTAACGAAGAAGTGTACA